GCAATTTCCCCATAAATATTTGATAGATTTCTCTATAACTAGTTTTGTTGACAATCTTAATTTTATTTTATGGGAGTGACTTAATTTTGTCTTCCTTTTTTTCATGTTTGATTTGTGGTAAAAATAGTTCAAATACAAATATGGAAATAAATTTATCTAACATTTTGAAATTAAGTTATTTAAGTAGTAAAATAAGGAAAAAAAAATACACCTAATTTAAATATGAATAACAAATAATATGATAAGATATGATAAAATTAATTCTAAATCATATAAGAAGAGCATCAAATTGTTATTTTTCTCAATTAATAGTTTTTCAACAACGTTGTCATTTTTATTTTATTTATTTTTATAGGTGATCCAATTTTTTTCGTACATCTAAATATTTTTTTCCACAAATTTATAATAAATTAAATTATAAAACCTACATATATGCGGATTCTTAATTTAATATTTTATAAATGATAAAGTAACAACAAAATTTATTGGTAAACAGATAAAAGAAGAAATAAAAAGGTGCGACACAAAATATGGTTTTTGGAATCGTAGAATACTATCAGACATTATGGAAATAGTTTGTCATGATGACATAATTGTTGATGGTCGCCAAGGGAACGATCCTCCGTTTTTTAAGTTCTGTGGGAAAACTAGAAAAATCAATGGAATACATGATTTCCCATGGTCTCTTGTATATATATCTAGATCCCATATTTTAAATAAAAGGTTGTTCTGAAAAAGAAGGAACTCTGCACAAGATACAAACAGAAATATAATGCACAACACAGAACATTTCCAATAAAAATACTCAGTCTTTATTGTTATTCTCCGCATGACACAACAACTGATACACGACACAACTGTTGCAACATGTAAATTACACAAACACTTCTATAGAACAGATTTTTAATCCAATTCTACCTAGAGTTAAGCGACATCACACACACTGTGATTCGCTACTGAACGTGTTTCTAATCTACCCAAGAATGCAACGCAACAAACAGTCACGAAGCCGTAGCACCTGCTACACACAGCACATGCTACTACAGATAGATTACAAGATACTTATATAGAAAAGATTCAGAAATCCTATACTACCCAGAGTTACGGGACATCACACACACAGTGATTCGCTCGTGAACGTATCCCTAATCAACCCAACACTACAGCGTAACAAACAGTCACGAAGTCTCTCATTTTCTCTCAACACAACAAAACTTTTTTACTCTGCTTCTGAGATCTCAAAGAGCTATTTTGGGAGAGCCAACGACATAAGATCAGCCTCCTACTCCTTTTATATCTGTTGCCCCCCAGCAACCCTAATTCTGCTGACTTCCCCTTAAACCCAAAGTGCAAGCCACTGCTCCATGTTTTCTGGTAGCAGACCAACTTGCACTCTAGCAGTCAGTCACATTAGACACTTGAGAACCAAACCTAACCCACTTGCTGCTTTTGACAAGGTCAAATCATCCTTTGTTAATTGAGCCTAGCTTTCGTAGCCAGCTTCCCACTTGCATAGCTCTTAGCTCGAGGTGCCACCTGACAGCCTAGTCATCACGTTGACTTTTCCTTAGCTTTTGACTTCTCTTTCAGCTTCTCAGTAACACAGGAACACTTCACAACTCCTATTTCTTCAGCAGATTCTTCTGCACTTACACATTCTAGGTATCATTGAAATAGTTCTTGAAGATGAATAGGCGATTGTTAAGAACACGCATGCCTAACTCATTGGCGGATCTAGACACGATATCCCCGAACTGACTGAATAGCTTTGAAACGTCTTTGTGTAAAGGTCAAAAGCTAGTACTACCGTAGCATCATGTTCAATCTTCACCTCATTTTCATTAATTGTAGAGGGCGAATCAATATATCACATCCAAGTGTTTTAGAGAATGGCCATAGTGAACTCGACAATGATCAGGCGGACTACGTTTCTCCAAGTACTAGAGTCAAGAGCAAAAATCTTGCACTTAGTAGATTTATTCACCTTTGTCATCCCACTCGAAAAACTACATACGTTCGTCTCACACTCTTCTCTCTTCCGATCCCTAGCAATATGAAGTTTCTATGCCAACATGATGCTACGGTAGTACTATATAGCTTTTGACCTTTAATATTCTCTCTTCCGATCCCTAGCAATATATATCAGGAATCGAACTAGGATCGTCCTATATATGGAAAAACAATATTTGGAGAGCCTGGTAGGAAGCGCCACTAACCCAAAACTTACTTGGTGAAAAATGGAGCATGGTAGGAAGCATCACTAGCGCAAAACTTACTAGCATAAGTAGTCAAGTACCGTTAGGGATTGTAGAGGTGGGATAAGGAAGAGTGCGGCAACAAGTGGAGGCAAGATTAAAAAGGCTAATACGAGTAAGGTTGAAGAGACAATCCCATGATTCATAGAGTCTGAAATCTTTAAACCCATGAAAAATAAACGTATTAGGTACAACAGAAAATAAACCAATATGAAATATAGCAACCAACAGAAATCACAGATTTATTGTTGAATCAATATATCACATCCATGTGTACTAGAGAATGGCCATAGTGAACTCGACAATCTTCACCTCCTTTTGACTTTAATAAAGGATCAAGTCACACACACTGTGATTCACTCCTGAACGTATTTCTAATCTACCCAAGAATGCAATGCAACAAACAGTCACGA